AATTAAGTAGAAAACGCGCTTATCACTTAAAGTGAAAGGCAAATCGATGTAAAAGCCACAAAAGAATAAAGTGTTACACATATACATAAGTGCATTTATTTGTATATATTATACATATGTATATACATATTGTACTATATGCCTACATAAATGATTAAGAATGCATATTTTCACTCTCAAAGCTACAAAAGAAATTTAGTTGAGTCACTTTCTTATTCTTTGAATGATCAAATGAAAGTAATACGAATTGTCACGTCGTTTTGTCATCAACTACCATTCACACTTACTTTCAAACACAAATACCTATACATACCGATGCTTATAGTTTATATATAATATATATATAATAAAAACAGTATTGCTCCTACTCTTCAAATAGTAGCCATCGAAAACGTATAGTCGATAACTCGTGCGCATGACGAGAAACTGTGATTGCAACAACAGCTGACACATTGAAAAATGCGGCAAATAATGCCATATGCTTTAAAAAAAATTCAAAAGCGCATTCGAGAAGCACGAACAAACCAACACACCCTTAAATTTGTGGACCTACCCATGTAATATTAAGAACTGGACGATATAACACAGAAAGCAACCCTGTTTATAGTTTTCTCTTATATCAGAACATCAAATCGCGCTGTCGTGTTATCAGTTAATCAATTTGGCTTCTAAAAATCATACTGATCTACACGCACCCTTAAGAGTGGAGGAAACTTTTATGATATTGAGATTGTTTTAGCATTTTAAAGATAAGCACGAAATAACTAAAGTAAATTGTTTCAATTATTCTACCCAACGGGACAAATACTCGTTTCTTTAGAATAAATGTTATAAATTAAGCATAAGCATATAATGAATCGAGATACTTCTTCTACAGTATTTGGGAAATTAAATATTTGAGCAATGTTAATATGATTATGCGCTTTACTCAATTAAGTCCCACTGTTTATAAATACTAGCATATCGCCTTTTGCTGTGCAATTGATCATTTACCTACGTTTCACGCTGTTTATAACCGAAAGGTAACTGTTCTGTCACTAGAATTTTTAGATTGGTAACTTCCTCGATGATCATACTTAACTTCATTCACCCTAGCATAATTTTAGGGGATTTACATTCCGTTTGACTTTTCTATCATCTTATTCATCTATAAATCGTTGTAATTCTCAGATGCCTTTTAAAAGGTAGAAAAATTATTTCAATATGCAATAATACACGTCCAACTTTCTGTACTTCTGTATATAACTTTATACGCGACATTTTGCACACGTGCTTTTCTCCTCAAGAAGCTGCTCATTTGACGGAATGGCCGATATCGGATCACTATAGCATATAGCTGCCATACAAACTGACCAATCAAAATCAAGACATCTCTTTATACCCTTCTAAGCTATAATAAACACTTGTGTATGGTAATATAGCTTCGGTGCAGCCGAAGTTAACGTTTTTTCTTGTGCTTCTCTAAAAAAAAATAACTGCTTATTTTCCCTAATATGTCGTCGTTTGTTTAACAAGTAATTTATGCGCCAAGGCATACACACATATATATTTACTAAATAAATAAGAATTAATTATTAAGCGTTAATGCTACACCTATTGCAACACAAGGATGCATACATGTAGACATTTCTACAAAATATGTGTAATTGCCGATTCGTAGATTTCCCAATTCTCGGAAATTAGCCAAATCATAAACATTAAAAGGATAACCGCTAAGCAGCTTGTGTAACACGTTTATCGCCACACCTCCTCACTGCTTCTCTGCTTGCTTTAATGATTTTTCTCTATTTGCTTTTGGTGCGCCGCCGCCTCACTTGTCAATGCAAACAGTTAATGTCCTTTGAGTTGGCATGCCAACACGTAAGCATAATGCACTTACCTACACATACATATATACATATCTATATTACGTAAGTGTGTATGTGTAGGCTTATATAATATATTTATTGATATGCACCTTTTCGGATTATTCTCTCACTTCTCTCTGTTTGTTAAACACTTCATGCTCGACAGTTGGTTTGCTGCGATTCCCACACTTACAGCACAGACACATACACATATACATATACACGTACTTATTGTATATACATATGTGTGGGTGCGATTTCTTATATTTCCTTCTTTAATGCCACAGCAGTTTGCACCTTTTTCCTATTTTTCCCACCATTCTTCGTGCATACCGAGAATCGGAAATTCCTCACTGCACTAATATTTACTTAGCCGCTTGTCCTGTCTTGGCGTTAGCACGTAAAGAATGTTGGAATTCCTTTGTTCTTTGCTGCTGACCTGCAAAAGGCTTGACTCAGCCGGAAATTGCGCGCAAATTAAAGCTGTTTGAGTACAGAATTTATACTTACATATATGTAAGTAAGCACTGGTGAATAAAACTAATTCACCTTTGAGTGTGGCATTGTTTTTGCTTTTGTGTAAAATAATTTATTTTTGAGTAAAAAATACATTTACTAAAATATTTTCTTTAAAATTCAATATGTTTTTATGACAGCTATAGCAAATAGTAATCCGATATCGGCAATTCCGACAGAATTGACAGCTTTTTGAGGAGAAAATAATGTGTGAAAAATTTCAAATATCTCAAAAACTGAGACACTAGTTCCAGTATATACAGACGGGCGGACATGTCTAAATCGGCTGAGCACGTCACGCTAATCAATTTTATACTCGTATAGGCTTTAAAGTGTCTCTGACGTTTCCTTAAACAATTAACAGTTAATTAATTTAACAATTAAATTTTAAATTTATTCTCGGATAAATATTTTTCTAAACCTTCGGAGTCGACATGTTGAAGAGATTTTTTTTAGTTTTGAATCAAAATACCCTAATTTATAATTTTTTCAAAAATATAGGTTAATGTTGGGAAATATTATTCCAAAATACCTCATACATATATATATATAAAGTTAATATTCATGAGATCTTAAGCCCAAAACCAAAACAAGCTCCCGAAAGACTTAAATCGCTTTTAAAGCCCAGCTTTCATCAGATATTTGTCTCTCAAAACAAAGTTCAGCAAAAATTCATCCACTTTCTCAACATTTTATTTTTTTAAGAAAAAAGTCAATTTTCTTTACCCTTTACAACCCATCTGTTGAGATACAAAACAATGTATAGCTTTCGATCCGAGTGGCACGGTTTTTACTAACAATTTTTATAATTACAAATTTCATCATTTTTACTCGTAAATAAATATCACTTTATGACACATATAAAAAAAGCATAAAGTTAGTTCAACAATGTTGCATTTCATTATAAAAATTGTTGCAAGCTAATATTATCTACAACCTTGCGTTTTTTTCAATTAATTTATATTTTATTACAAGCCTTCTCTCTAAAAAATAAACACTATGTAAGCCTTTTTCTCTGAAGCTTGTAAATATATGTAAAATAAATGTGTCTTTAAATTTTATTGTCCACTTTATGACATGCGAAATGGTATGAATCTTCCTCTGCACCGTAGGCAATTTACCGGAAGTTGTTTGGTCTTTTTACGACTTGCGGCATTTACCCTTTATTGCAAATAACATAAAAGCTTAAGACCTGGTAGGAAAGCTTGCGGGGAAATACATATATGAGCAGAAGTTAGAGAGTGTAGAGAAAAAAAAAAAAGAAAATAAGAAATATGGATCAAAATTATATTATGTTAAGTTTACTATAAAATATCTAGAGTAATATTTTTTCAATATGATATATCTAGTAATGCAGAAGGTATAAAAATTTAGTTGAAACGTGTTAGGTAAATTGAAATGAAAATATTGTTTTAAATTTTTTTTTGGTACGCCTAAATTAGTTTTGAATAATATCCCAAAAAAGAATACCAGAAGCTTGACAAAAGTGTTGATTTTTACCAATATCCGAAAAACTTAGCGGAAGCTCAACAAAAAAGCCGCTTGCGGTTTAATTTAATATATATTTTAAATTTTTTCGAAACTTTTTCCTACTGGGCAGCTACATTTTATGTGAATATATTGTTGCCAGGTGTATGCAAATAATTCTTTACAGAATAATAACTATAAAATACAAATACCATGTCAATAAGCTCTTTACGTTTATTTAGCTAAGCAATTTTCAGGTTATTACTTTTGCGAACTTTTCATTAAGCACGATATTTTATAACTGCTCTTCTAATTTACTCTGCTGAATTGGAGAGCTAAGTGTGTCTTTGATTATTTGGATTTTCTTAAATATATATATGATTTTTCGTAGAAAGTAAAGTGTGGTAACCAAAATTTAACAGAATTACAATTGAAAAATTAATAAAAAAAAAAATAATTCTATAAATTGTGAACCGTTTATTAAGCCATAAGTATCGTAAAAGTTGAGTAATTTATATTTCATACAAAAATAAATAGAAATATAATATAAAATAAAGAAAAATTAAGAATTGCAGAACCATGTCTACATTTAGGCGCTTAACTATATTTTGTGGCGATTTGCTGTCAAAATGCAAAAATAATTGCCTACATTTTGGCGCTTTTTGTTTAAGTTTACCCAAATTTGTGAAAATTTAGTTGAATAACCCTTTTTTCAATTAAAAGTAACTATAAAATATATGTAAATACTAATTTATGTGAATATGTACTTATATATAAAGTATATGTAAGCCCTACGCGTATATGTAAAGCCACATTGCTTAAGCGGTCTACCAAATCAAAAACCTATTCTAAATATGTGAACCATCTTTGTCTATTTTTTAAAGCTTATTTGTCGCTCTCAGCATGGAATTTTGATTTTGAACAAGCAATATTTTATATTTGCACATAAGTTTCTCCTCGTGCCTCGTGCCTCAAACTCAGGCTGTGCAATTTAAATATTTACATGTGTGTTTATATGCATATTTCTTGTTAATGCTACCTCGAAAATCAGCAAAATACTGCCATACCTCTGCTATAAGTGTGTACCTAGCAAACAAAGCATTACCTTCCACATTTTAATATTTTTTGTTGCAACCATTTTGAACCGTTTCTCTTTCCTCCTCTTTCCAGTTCACCCAGAGCCAAAAATTCCATTGCATTACCAACAGTTAATGATGTGAAAAGCAGTTATACGACGAATTTGGTAAGTTTTTTTTATTACTCATTTATTTTTATTATTATTTCTTTAAGTGTATTTGCATGCATGTACCACAGAGTTAATACTTTTTCCTACAAAAAGTGTAATTAGCTGAATTGGATACTAAAAAGTGCAAAGTATTTGTATCTATGTGAGTTGCTTTTTTCTGACTCAAACTAGCGCACACACATTTTGGCGCGCAAATGAAGAAAATTATTCAAGTGTTATGGCGTTTAATTAAGAAATTCATAAATTAAATAGTTGTTGTAAAGTTTGTATTTGTTTTTGTTGTAATCATTACGTAAATAGTTTACTGCATAACTACCTACTCTTATGTGTATCAGCATACTTGAATTAAATGGAATTTTGGGTGCGTTTAGTGAACCCGATAGGAAATAGGAGGAGTTATAAAAATAAAATTGATGAATTTTTTAGATTATTATAAGCGAGAGAAAATATATATTAATTTTGGCAAGATAATAATATTATTTACTATAAATTCGTAGATGAAACTTAAAACCTTGCATTATATATATATATATATATATATAATATAGCAGATATTGTTAATACAATGACCTACGGTCGGAAAATATGTCAAAAATTGACAAAATGACGCCGTTTTTATATAAAAGTTTAATTTTATTAAAAAAAACCGGAAGTTCATATAAAATGTAGATGTATATGCAGAACACGCAGAAAAAAAATGTCTATAGTGATCGGATTATTTGCCTCCGAGTAATCACTCAAGCAAATTTGAAAAATGTAGTTTTGAGAAAAACGCGTTTAAAGATAAACTGATGGTGCTAATTGAACTGTGTGGCTACAAGTTAAAAAGCTGTAATTTAAAAATTATTTGAGGAACCGATTTTGTTTAAATTTCTCACCAGGTGTGCCCCTTAAGAGAAGACTTTGATACTGAAAATATAGCACAAAAATTGTTTCGAAAATATGCAGAACCTAAATTTATTACCAAAAACATTTCTGACGCCTTCAAGAGCGACTTTATTCACTCACTCAACTCATCTCCAGGCAGATAACTCACAAATTATTTCAAGTAAAAAAGTGACGAAATTCTTAGAGGGCCATATCTCTTTACAAGTGGCTACGTAAATAATAAACAGATTGCTACAAATGAAAATGCAGGCTATAGTGATACTATTGCCTGTTCAAAAACGAAGCAGATTGTAGTAGGTTGTGAACAAAAAATTGATCAGTCTCCATTTAAAGTCACAAAAATATTTTAAAACCATTTATTTGCCACTCATGTATTTTTAAGCAAAAATAAATTCAATTATACTTAATCAAAAGTTGGCTAAAAGTGCTTCTCAAGCCCTTAGTCTTAATAAATTATAGACATATTTTTTAGATTTTCTTTTTAGATAAGTACAAGCATTTTCACACTTTGAATTTAAAGAATAATAATGCGCAATACAATGATAGTGAAGTACAACTAACAAGCAATCCCGAAAAAATCCCGATCTCGAACCCGAAATTTTGTAACTCTATAGCCATAATATTAACGCAGAGCGATAATGAAAAGGCATTGCGTTATAAAAAAAATCTTCTACTAAATCCCGAAAGTTACATTTTTGCGCTTTGCTATGATATCGGGATCTGGTAGCGAAAAAGATAATCACAAGCTCTCCACTACCACATATACCAAATTAAGTAATTTTCCTACAACTTTAATAACCAAATCTTAGATTAGCAACGAAATTGTGGTCTACTTTTAGGCGCTTAATGCTTATAATAGGCATAATTTACGATTCAGACATTCTTTGACTACAAAACTGCGTGCTAGCAATTAGTATTGGTAATTACAGCCTATATATACATACGTAAGTTTATAGATACAAAAATATTATCATAAAAAACAACAAATATAGACACAGTTGTATATAGTAGGTGCAAAACATTTGTTATTATAATTAATTGCCACATTCTCGGTTGACCCAGCCACAACAACAACCATAATTATTATTTATTTATGTATGAGTATTTTAGTATGTGTGTTTGTTTGTAAGTGTGTGCTTAGCATTCCCACATGGCATGTTGCATTTATGCAACGTCACAAATTGAGAGGCACAACTAGTCTTTTTAATGGGTCAAAGATATGTGTGTACGTTTATCTCTACAGTAGATAAGGTAAATATGTTTCTTTGCAGTTATGAATAGTTTATTTGTGCCAATAACTAAAATATATGAAATCACTGAGTAAGCGTTGCATACCATAGATACATATATATTGTCAATGTGTGTGTGCGTGCTTATGTAAATTAACACCTGTTAATTGAGCGCCGTAATTAGGTAAAACATCTAAGAGGTGACTGACATATTAGTGCAATGCCTAGGCATATTTTGGAACTGTTATGTCTGCCATAGAGCTTTAAGATCTTACAAAATTAGATGTCTCTGTATATTTATACATCAAGCAAAAGTTATTTATGTACTTGTACTTTGTCACTCGTTTTTAGCACTTGTAATACTTGGGATGTGCAGCGCTCGATTATATCTTAAAATTTACATACTTAATTAATTCAATGTAAGTTACGGCTCCATAACAGACTCGAAATGCTGCTAAAAATAGATAAAATGCCGTGCTAAATAGGTGCATTTATGCCTTTATAAGCTATCTACAAATCTCAGTCTCAAAGACCGGCAATATTGCTAAGATATGAAGGTGCATAGATGCCCTGTAGGAAATTCAGTAAATGAAAATATAACCGATCATAATAGAAAATAACTTAATAGATGTTTGGATCTAAGAGCTTTCCTGAAGAGTTTTTTTAATATACTGAAATAACATATAAAAGTAGTAAGGCTCAGAAATCGATTCCTATGTGTCTTGAGTATCGTTTACTGTAGTGCCTATAATGAACTTAACAGCTTTCACAATGACCGTTAGCAATATTTTTACGCTCGTATTTGAAGTCTAAATATCAGTTTGGTCCCTTCTATCATTTCTTAGAAATACACCGGAAATATTTACCACTGTAAAGGCAGTTTTTTTTAGATCTTTAACACAAGTTATTTCTATAATTCTCTCAGGACTCTGCAAATGATGAACACTCAACGGCCAAAGTTTACTATTTATATCACCATTAATCTGGTATGGATTATTTAGGGATATATGAAGCAAAAATAGTTAATACTGATAGTGATATTTTTTATTATATGTACTTATATTATATAGTAATGTAGAAAACTTAATTGATAACAATCTTCAAATTTAACTCCTAAAAACTGCCAGCATATTTCACCACAGCTCTGACACTTGGACGCCTCTCATACAAATTTAATTGTTGCTCAGGAAGGGTTCGAACTTCTAAAACTACATATTTGTGGTGTTACAACGAGTCGCCGACTATCAATAAAAGCTCTCTAAAAACTACAGCAGATATATACAAATTTTAAAAATTTCTTGAATTAACCAATATCATCAGTCACTACATGACAACTGTCAAGTGATCAGCTGTCAAATGGTATTGTGTTGGGAAGAAATTTCTCATGTCGAACTACCAAACAGTTGTATGATTTCATTTAAAATAATATACGTTTAAAATTTGTTTAAATTAATTTCCGCTGTCCTACAGTGCTTATAAATACATAGATAACTTAGAAATAATTACTTATGTCACTTTTTTCTGAAACTCGAGTAGCAACGATAAAATTTTAATGGCACTTTATCATGCATATGATTAGAGGTATATATGTATGCACCAACGTTTGTATGTTTTATAAATATATATACTTGTATTATATACATACACTAATAAATCTATATGTAGACGTATATTTACACGACACTACTTATGTCAAAAAGATTTTCTCACATTAATTTTTAATTTTTGTGCCTTTTTTGTTGTCTTTCTCTTCAATTCAAGCGCTTCGGCTGCGATCTTTGACCTCTGTCTTAAAAGTAAATAATAAACAAATGCCTTGAGTGCTCAAGTGATGCTAAAACTAATGTGATATATGTGTGAGCAGAAGTCACGTTACACACATACATATGTATACACGAATATACATATGTATTTATATTTTTAAGTTATCTTGTAGCGCTGGCAACATTTTATAGCAACATATGTTTCCAACATTTCAACACTAACATGACAAGCACAACGATTTTGTTTGTGTACACGGATAAAGGCGTATGCTGAACACTTTTTAGATTTTCTTCAAAAACGATTAAAATAGAATGCGGAGAAAGTTCATTGCCACATTCTAATTTTAATTGTACGAAAATGTAAGAATTTTCTTCCGGCTTTGTTTGTATACATATAAATGTATATATATATAAATCTATTGTTTACATTGCTTTCTTAATTGATTAAAAAATTTATTAAATATTTATACCCTGAACAGGATATATTAGGCTTGCCACCAAGTTTTATGGCTTCTCAGAAGGAAACGTCGAAGACCCTATAAAGTATATATTTATATATAAATGAACAGCGTGACAAGCTGAATCGTTTTAGCCATGTTCGTCTGTCCGTCTATCTGTATATACGCAAACTACTGGAAAACTTTTTTATTTGACAAGTTATCTTCAAGAAATTTTGCACAGCTTATTGTCCAAATTAAGGTAACAATGTCCGTATGTATTGTTTCAACAACTTGGTATATAAATACAATTTTACATATTAACATGCCACTTTTACAGCAAACTAGCAAAACTTCATATTTCACTGTACAAAATTTTCATTCATAAATGATTTTACAGTGGCGTTTACTAGCTGCATTGTCATTCACAACACTTCTATATGTATATAACCAGATATATATATACGTACGGACATATGTATACCATATACCATATATATTATCCTCTCTACCCTCGCTGGCAAATAATATCGTTGCATTCTTGACTCTTGACTGCTGCTTACATTTTAATTCAAACTTCTTGCAGTCGTAAATTCTCATCCGCAACATTTTTCACCGATGTCGAGTGCTTTATGCTTCTGTATTTACCCCTGCTTTGGCTTGTCTAACTCAACAGCTAC